AATTTCTCTAACTTTCGTCACCACTCGGCGCTGCATGATGGCAGTTTATTAACTTCAGTTTCGCCAAAACATCGCCGGGGGTCTGATTTACGCCACAAACGCGCTGCTGACCTTGACGGGAATTAAAACTGTTCCCTCGTTATTTCAGTGCCCTGGGGTGAAAACCTTCGCCGGAGGAGCCTGTTTTCTCCCATCTGTGATTCTTCATGTATTACTGAATCAGGTTCTACAGGTTCATAACATCAAGAACTAGGTAAATGAAAAGTCAAGGTCAAGTAAACATCTCTTGCCCCCCTCCCCCTTTATCAGAAGCAGACTGTATCAAGGCCATGCTGTAGCTGTAAAGAAATGCTAACAGTGCTAGTTCAAATATTGCAATGGGGTAAACTGTCATTTGGCTATTTGGTACTTTGAATTATGATGATGATGGTACCTATTAAAAATAAAAAAAAGTTAGTAAAGTCAGTATTTTGGGATTTATGAAGGTCAGTGTCAAGAGTAGACGTCATGAGCCTGGCATGACCCTGTTAACCATATTGTTTCAGGTCATTAGGTTCAAAGTCACAGTACTTTACAGGTAACCTTATACTGTCACGGGTCATTGGGTACAAGGTCACGCACTGCCTTACAGGTAACGTTATACCGTCACGGGTCATTAGGTACAAGGTCATGTGAAGGTCACGTGGAACGCGGGTATTCTGGACCGCGGGGAGAACTTGACATCCAGAATGTTAATGGTTTTAAATGATTTCATGCTTTTGGCTTGAGGTGAAGCATCAAACTTTTTTCAGGTAACTAGTAGTGCATTGCTAGCCTGGGTACCATCCTGGTTAGTTTGAGTCAAGTGAGGAAATGCGTGTTTAGTGCCTTTCCCAACCCACAGCTCCCACAAACACCACATGTTGCCGTGTTTTCCCAGCCGGCCGCCGATGGGCTGTGATAACCTCAAGGTCTCACTGCTTATTATCACCATAGCGCCGCAGTCCGGAGTTCTTGCATCTAGAACCACGGCCAGGCACGTTTCTGGCTAGTCCACGCGTATCCAGAAAAATGCCTGGTCATAATCCTAACCCATTCAGGCATGGAACTAGTTAGACAAGGTTCTAGACACGGCCAGGGACACGACAGGAGTTGACCTAGCTAGCCTGGTGGCCAAACCTATTATAGCTCCCTAGTAATATAATATGTTTGGTAACCAAGCTAGAGTTGACCTGGTATATTTCAGCATAAACTCTGCAGCTGTGGGGTCGTGTGGCGTAGCGGCAGAGTGCGCGACTCGGGTCCCAGAGGTCCCGGGTTCGAGTCCGGACATGCCACCGATCTTGTGCCCTTGCTTGGGAAAGGCACTTTACACGACTTTCCTCACATCGCTCAGGTGAAAATGAGTATTGTCCTGTCATGTATTTGTCCTGTCATGTGTTGGTGGCGGCATTAATATAAGTTGAAACAACTTGAGTGTGCCGTCACCACGTCTGGTGATTACATGTTAGAATAAATGATAAATAAAAAAACTCTGCAGCTCATACTCCAGCTGAGAGGCAGGAATACCGAACCTGTCAGTTCGCACCTGGCTGTGATTCCGGCTGGAGATATCGGAGTTTCCATAATGAGGGCGACTCGTTCTGCATGGGTCGCGTTAGGGTGGCGGTCATTGACCTTGGACTTGCCGATAATGAACTTCGGCGTGTGGAATGACGGGAAGCGTCAGATGGCGTTTTTCTGGGTTAGTAGCCTCGGTGCCAGACCCGGCGCTTTCACCGTTCACTGGCCCTACACGCCCTACTCTGTATCCAGAACATCTACTGTTCTATTCCTGGATAAGGTACGGTTCTGGATAGCCGCTTATCCAAACGTACCCAAGCGTATCCAAACCGTGCTTGACTCTTCGTTCTGGATGGAGCGCCGCGGATTCGGACTCTGGGATGTGGGCATGTGGCTTCTCCCGATCCCGCCAGTGTCGCTATGGGTTCTGGCCCCCAGGTTGGGGTTTTGTTGCTGAACACTTATAAAAGAGCAAACGAGTCTGTCTACCTCCCATCCCAGCAGAAATTACGCCGCGGGGTCACGGGGTTAACGACCAAGACGACAAGGTCATGACCTTGAGCCTGCTTCACGCCGTTCCAGCAGATGTTTCGGCGGTGTTCAGGGACAGGCGGGTCAGAGGTCACGACCCGTGGTGAATGTGCGAGGAGTAATGGACGCTTTAGGTCACGTTGACAAGAAACGCAGCGGGCACTTCACAGCTTTCTCCTGACGATACTAAAGCTGCTATAAGGGCTTCATGGATTTGGGGTTTTTCTGGTAGCTTCTTGTTCTTTTTGTACGAGCTATGCGGCTATGGTCGTATGGGAATCGAACCCGTGTCTCTGGGTTACTTGGTCGTTTTATCGCCCTCTTCTTAGTTCTGAGGTCTTGTGAAAACCGAGCTCGCAAAAAGTACGTGGTGACCGGCAGAGGAATTTGGCAGGCATGCACGGGCTTCCTCGTGTCATACTTGCAAAATCCACGGGCTTCCGTTACCAGGCAACAAGGGACCTAAACAACCTCACTGTGACAACCTGTAACATCTCAAAACTTACTCTACAACCAGTCAAATGTGGAATAGTCCTGGGCATGTCCTCCGATTTAACCCCGAAAGTACTACTAAGTTGCCATTAGAATAGCCTCCGTTCCAGGGCCATAGAGCGGAGGAGCTGGCCTGTGTAGGCCCTGGAGCCGAGGAACTGGCCTGTGTTGGCCCTGGAGCCGAGGAGCTGCACTGGCCTGTGTAGGCCCTGGAGCCGAGGAGCTGGCCTGTGTAGGCCCTGGAGCCGAGGAGCTGGCCTGTGTGGGCCCTGGAGCCGAGGACGTTGGCCTGTGTAGGCCCTGGAGCCGAGACGCTGGTCTGTGTAGGCCCTGGAGCTGAGGAGCTGGCCTGTGTAGGCCCTGGAGCCGAGGGGCTGGCCTGTGTAGGCCCTGGAGCTGAGGAGCTGGCCTGTGTAGGCCCTGGAGCTGAGGAACTGGCCCGTGTAGGCCCTGAGCCGAGGAGTTGGACTGCGTAGGCCCTGGATCCAGTCTACTAGTTGAATGGATGCTGGAATGTGTCCAAAGTAAGGTGGACAACCTGTAACAGGAGTGTTCCCCACAGTAACCTACGGGACCTTTTCTAGTTAACTTCCCAACATTTTGTTGGCAGTGATCTTGGTTATTCCGGGGAGGATTGCAGTGGAGACTAATTTGGCGGGACGGCCAACCCGAGCCCACTCCGGACTCGTCACAACTGTCGGTTCTACTGGCAACTCAATCCCTTTTGCCTGACGAAAATCGAAACGTCCCATTTTGGTAGCGTCCATGGCATGCCAAAAACTGGGGGTCTTCAGGGTCTTTGGGAGCTTTTATGTGCTATTTTCTGATTGCATATAGACAACATAGCTGGCCTGGTTGAATTATCACCGTTTTAGAACTGAATCAGAAAACAACCGAAGACCACCAAACCCACAGTTATTAACTTAAAGCCTGCTACGGAGGCTACCATTTTGGCCTCCAAACATTGATAATATCTGTGACGTAATGAACTGCAGTGGAGACCTATGGCAGTTGCCACCGTACCCACAACCCCCCGCGCTACCTCCGTGTGACCCACACTTGACCTCTTTGTGACCCTTCACCCTACCTTGAACTTGGCGACATGGAAGTCGTCCGGGAGGTTTTGTGTTCTATACGGCAGGCCTGTAACCACTTTAGACTCATCTGACATTTAACCCGAACTTGACATTGCCATGGCAACTACGATAAACAAGAACTAAGAAACGTAACAACGGTGCATTTTTACCAACTGAGATCCATCCGCCTTCCTAAACCCAGAACAAATGCTCAGAAAAAGAGATTTCTGTACAGGATGGCTAGTGCCTGGAACGAGATGAAGTTGTCATGATGTAATGATGTATAGAATTCTTGTAATGATGTATATAGAAGCTGTGTGTAAGTATTTTTGCTGCTGTTAGTTTATGTTTGATATGTTCCCTGTGTGTCGTATGTGTGTACATGTCAGAATGGACCACAGGAAGAATAGCTACAGTTTTTACGCTAATTGTGGATCCAAATTAAGTCAAAGTCAAGGTCAGAGAGTGCATTAGACTCACGGTACCATGACTTATACATCATGTCTAAGATTAAATGTACAAGTCAAGCAAAATGAAATGTTGATGAAGGCAGACGACATGCCGACAGCAAAGGCCTTGGACGGCCCGAATCTGATTGTCCATCACAATTAGCAGCTAAACCAATAAGAGAATGGCTATTAGTGGTTTGACCAATAGTGTAACTGTATGTTTTTATTTTTTATATTTATGTTTTATTTTACATATCTACGCCGTTTTGAGGAATATGGGTTGTACGGTGGGAAATTTGTGGGACTATGGTATACTGTACAGCGAAATTGTAACTCGATTAATTGAAAGGTTTTCAAACGTTTGCTTGTACTTGAGGACAACAGAAGAACTCATTAAAAGAGCCACACAGGAATCGCAGCCACGAAATGTTTTCTATATTTGGTATCGTCTGCCTGTATGGCCTGTGACCTGACTGTTTAGTTTGTTATTCTAGAGTTCGTGTATAAAATCATTTTCGCTGAGCGTGTCTGTAAGAACTTTACGGACAGTCCCGGCAGCGTAACGTTCCTGCTTAATCAGAAACAGGCTGTTTTGGGACAGATTTTTACGGGACGATCCATTGACTATTTTCGTCTTTAGTAAGCTTCAGTTGCACTAGTTTGGATAGAAACATGTTACTAGTACCTGCCGACAAAACTGTAAGGTATAATGGTCAACATCTTCCGAAATGGAAGGATGCTTAGTACTACTAATGACCAACACTAAAGCCTAGCGTCTATGTACATTTTAGAATTGTTTTTAGTATGTTTTCTTAGTTGTATGTATAAGGTTCTGAAACTAAAAAGAACTATGTTGTTTACAATTGTTTACTTGTTCTTATGGAGACTAACTTTAATACCCCCTCTACAGGTGCAGCCGTGGCCCAAGACGGAGTGCACGTCTACGTCAGTTACCTCACCTGAGTGACGTCAACGTCAGTTACCTCACCTGGTTGACGTCGACGTCAACAAGCTCACCTGGGCGACACCTACGTTACTTCTTTCACCTGTGCGACGTTTTCGTAAGTAGGCTCACCTGGTGAGTGACGTCAACGTCAGTGAGCTCACCTGTGTGACGCCGACGTCAGTTACCTCACCTGAGTGACGTTTTCGTCAGCAAGATCACCTGGGCGACACCTTCGTGTCACTTCTTTCGACGTTTCGCGTGCGTCAGTAGTCTCACCTGAGTGACGCGTACGTCAGTAAGCACACCTGAGTGACGTTCCGGTCAGTGACCTGCGGAATTCGCCATGAGGCTCCTGGTGGTGCTGCTTGCATCCGCTCTCGTCTTGACTTTGACTCCCAGTAGCGACGGGAAGGAGATCCCCAAGGAGGAAGAACATGTGGAGGAAAACTACCTGTCGTACGGTGGGGAGGAGGAGAGGAACTTAGGAGACAAGGAGAAGGAGGAGGAGGATTTTGAAGAGGATGAGGAGGACGATGACAGTGAGGAAGAAGAAGAAGAGGAAGAAACTTCAGAGGAAGAGGAGGAGGAGACTGACTGGGCGCCCATCAGGGTCAACAGGCAGATTCGGCCGTTCGGAGCGCCCGCCGGAAGTGCCCGGTGCCCCATCATCACCGGACGTGACGTAGATGACACGCTCACACAGAGCGAAGCCATCCGGAGACTCGGGTAAGTTCGTGATTGGCTCGGGTAAGCTCGTGATTGGCTCGGGTTAGTTCGTGATTGGTTCGGGTAAGTTCGTCACTGGTTCGGGTTAAGTTCGTACTGTACCTAATATCTACGGACACACACACAAACACACTGAAAACGTGTGTTACGACTTCCAAAAATTTGTCTTCACTTTATTTGCATATCAATCAATAGGTTGTGCTTAAAAACCTGCATTTCTCCTCTGGTCTCATAGTGTCACTAACGAAAGGTAGTGGATGCTAGCTGAAACGTCTGACGTTTTCAAAATCATATCCAGTTGCTTGCTAATTGAGTAACTGCTTTTTGGCGTATTGTATTACCTGGATGTGTTAAACCTTCACCGACGTACACTAAAAACGTACCCACCTGCAATACCTTGCTTGTCCGCAGGGTGGTGTACGGAATCATGGACCGGGACGGGGACGGCTTCACCTCGGAGGGGGAGCTGGCCGCCTGGTTCGGCGCCGTGATTGGTCGCCAGCTCGATGACGAGGTGGACAGGGTGTGGGGCCTGTATGACGTCAATGGCGCGGGCCGACTCAGCTGGGACATGAGGCTGCAGACTTACAATGCTGTACAAGGTGAGTATCGTCTTTCCTGACTTATTGTCTGTACAGGAATGTTTTTGTTAAGAATTTCATCGAATTCTTACGAATGCAAACGAATCCGTTTGGGGAAATGTTTGTGAGGAGCGGCAGTGGAAGCCAGTGGTCCAGAACTGCCCCCTATCGGGTGTTTAGTAAAGTGCAGATTTTCGGACCAGAACCGCCCCCTAACGGACGTTCAGCCAAGTGCAGATTGTTCTCCGGGAAGATCAAGAACCGCCCCTTAACGGACGTTAAGTAAACTGCAGATTTTTTCCCTGTTGCAGGAAGGTCCGAGAGCGAGTTGGACCAGACTTGTCAGACGTACCTGAAGATGATGGCGCGAGACAAACGGCGGTGGAAGCTAGCCGTACAGAACCGCCCCCTAACGGACGTTAAGTAAACTGCAGACTGATTGTTCTGTGTTACAGGGAAGTCTGAGAGCGAGTTGGACCCGACTTGTCAGACCTACCTGAAGATGATGGCGGTACAGAACCGCCCCCTAACGGACGTTAAGTAAACTGCAGATTGTTCTGTTTTGCAGGAAGGTCCGAGAGCGAGTTGGACCCGACCTGTCAGACGTACCTGAAGATGATGGCGCGAGACGAGCGGCGGTGGAAGCGGGCAGACCAGGACTCGGACGGTTTCCTGTCGCGGGACGAGTTCGCCGCTTACTTGTACCCGGCAGACTTCGACTTCATGTACGAAACCGTGGTGGAGGTGAGGCCAGACTGATGGGATTTTATGGGTGACATCCGCGCGTTTTTTTTATTGGCTTCATGATTCACCACAAAACAGGGTTCGTGAGGGCCACTCAAAAGTTTGTGGGTTACTGTACAGCCAGTGAGGACAGATGATTGTTGACCTAATTAGACTTGAAAAGTTTAAGGTTCTACCCATATGGGAGCGTGCAGTAAATCCTCCCCCCCCTCTCTCTCTCTAAAAAGCCGAAATATTTACACTTTTGAACGAGTTTGCTCAGTGCAACATGAAAAGATCACCTCACCAGTACTGAATTTAGCTCTGCTGGGTTTTGAACATTGGTTTGGAAGGCTCGTCGATTAAACGCAGATTTAGGGTTAAATACTTTCATTAAGTGACGTTTATTTATTTTTTTTTTCGTTTCAGGACTTCATCGATGAGTACGACGTCGATGGCAACGGTGTTCTGTCCCTGAGCGAGTTCACATGTAAGGACACGGTCACATTTCCAAGCCGGGGCCCGGCCGGGTTGTTTGCGTTTTAACGAAAAATAAACAATATTAAGAGTATACACAAATAGTGCTCATGGTTAATTTTCTAAAACTATTTTTGTGTTTTGCTGTCTTATATCACAATTTTCGTTCCATACGACTGCCCGGCCGGGACTCGGGTTGGGAAATGTGACCGTGCCTTAATCTAAAGCCAAACCTTAATCTCCAAGCAGATCCCTTTCCTTAGCCTAGCTAGCTTTAGTCCGCTCCCCAAGATCCATACCGTCCTAAAGCCTGGGTCACATATATTCGGTCGATCTCGTCAACCTTTGCCAGATGAGTGACGTAACTGACTCTCCGGAAGTGGAAAGCGTTATTATGTTTACCTTTACAGAAGGAAAACATACTGTTTTTGGTCTGTTTCTTCTCCAAACAATTAAGGTCAATGGCCTGAACCAGATGCCTGACACCATGGCAACTAGTTTTACATCATGTTGCAATTTTATAGCAGGAGGGATTTAGACTCCCGTCACCATATGTGAATGTGTTTGAGTTAGTATAAACAGAGCAGACTATATCTGAAGACATTATGAATTTGCTTTGCAAATTTTACCTTTCTAGTTGTTGGCTGACGTTGTTTCATGACGTCACTTTCCTTTTCCCAGCCATATTCGGCAGCAGCTGCGGGGTCGACACGGCCACCCTGCAGGGGCAGTTCCGGTCACGTGACACGGACGGAGACGGCCAGCTGGGCATCCAGGAGCTGATCTCGTGGGTCATCCGCTTTGGGTACGACAGTAACGCGGATCAAGCGACACGGCTGATCCAGGACGCAGACACAGACACGGTGGGTTATGGGTGGGTTATGGGTGGATTATGGGTGGGTTATCCGCTTTGGGTACGACAGCAATGCTGACCAGGCTACCCGGCTGATCCAGGACGCAGACACAGACACGGTGGGTTATGGGTGGGGTATGGGCACAGTGGGTTATGTGGGTCATCCGCTTTGGGTACGACAGTAACGCGGATCAAGCAACCCGACTGATCCAGGACGCAGACACAGACACGGTGGGTTATGGGTGGGGTGGGATATATGGGTTATAGCTGTGGGTCAGTTATAGCTGTGATAATGACCTGGTTAGTTGTAGGCGGGTTAGTTACAGCTATGATAATGACCGGGTTAGTCATGGCTGTGATAATGACCGCGGGTTAGTTACAGCTGTGATAATGACCGGGTTAGTTATAGCTGTGATAATGACCGCGGGTTAGTTATGGCTGTGATAATGACCGGGTTAGTTATAGCTGTGATAATGACCGCGGGTTAGTTATGGCTGTGATAATGACCGGGTTAGTTATAGCTCTGATAACGACCGGGTGGGTTGTATTTGGCCATGATTCATGTATCTGTATCTGTATCTGTATAGCCGGTATAACCGCCTTTCGGCGTAACACACCAGCTTAAGTAGGACGGGCGGCTGAGTCTGTCGAAGATCCAGGCGTACTACCGGACCGTGCTAAGCGACGCGGGCGGCGGCAGGGGGATGCGGCGGGCGGGTTAGGGTTAGGGGTCCGGTAA